CTATTGTGTTGCCACAGTCGTCGTACTGACGAGGTCCAATTGTGGTAACGGTAAGAAATGTATACGAGTTAATGGACCGAAACATTTCTTACCTATAACAAATATTTCTTTATACCCCTTACTTATTTTAATATCCTTTTCCTCTTCTTCCTTGTTTCCTTTTTTCCTGATATTTTCTTTTTTAACCTTTAAAAAGTACCATTCAAAATTGGTGATATACTGGTAATTGTTGTAGGAACAAATCGAGATTATTCTTGATAGAAGCTCATCACGATAATAGGAACCCTCGGCTGCATCGACATGATCCATCAGTTTACGCACTATTTCCATGATATTTCTTTTGGAAACCATCCCATAAAGTAAATCCAACGCTCTGAAAACAAACACAATTTCAATCATACGTTGCAAAAAGGTGCTGCCTGCACATGTGAAAATATCGTCTGTAGCTTCATCATTCCCACGTTGCAGTTTGAGGTAACTATCCGCAACTCATCAAGGGAATGATGCTATCCACCACGAAGCCTTAGTGTATAAGATTTGTTAACGCTGTCAGTTTTTGATATAGTCTTCTGTGGCCAGCGCACGAGTTGTGCGTGCGAAGATGCGTTTTTTGCATAGTTCTTCGCAATTTTTGTCGCTGCAGGCACCGGTTTCCTGGCAAATGCTTCTAGCCAAACAAATTAAGATTGGCCATCAGAACTGTCAGGCCCCGGATGGATTTTCAGCAAGCAGCAGCTTACCAAAGAAACAACATGCCTCTTTCCACCTTTTTCAAAAGTTTATGTATTTAGTTCAAACAAAAATTCCTACAGCTCCCTAGGGGAAATTTCCTTCTTCAGGGACTCCTCAAGCAGTCACAGGATTAAAGATGTGTGCTTAAGGATAGCGGTATGGTATCAAGACTATCCAACCCATCCCTTTCCCCCGAAATGTGGCAGTCCAGTATCATTTATATTGCTGGGGTTGTTCCCAAACATTACAACTAGCTAGGCTAGATCTTCCGACCTTCACGTGGATACGGCCAGTTCGATACCTTGTTCATATAAAGCTACAACGATGCAGTTAAGCACCGTTCCCTATTCACAAAAAATCTTAACGATGGCTATGCAGTAATCCCTACCCATGTTGAAACATAACGAATCTATAAACTGTCTTATAAAGAAGCAAGAAATGCTTGGTATAAACCTTAATCGAATGCTTTCATCCCTGTCGTCCAGACATCGCAACACGATATCTTTGTGTGCTTGTACGGCCTTGGGATGTGTTTGTAAGATGCGTCCCATCGCAAGAAGCCCGAGATATTTGAGATTCTGATCCGAATCCTCGATCAATATTCCAAGCTTCTGCACGCAGAGCTGCAAAAACGACCACTTTTCTCTCTCAGAATTTGAATTCAGATGAGTCAAAAACCACCCCCTCCTCACAAAAAAAACGACTGGCAGCTAGATTTTAGTGAGCGCAATACATATAACTTTGAATTAACAACTATAGAACAGAG